GGAAGTTGAGAGAAATTTTCAGTTTAGGAAAGAGATTTTTAAGCTTTTAGAGCTAGCTCAAGATGGACTATGCTCTTTTAGTAGGTGGTGATATTTCTGTCACTTTGGTGTGCTTCAGTGATTTAACAAGTATTGGGTGAAATCCCAGTAATCGGCACTGAAAAAATTATTTTAGCCTAGAATGAGGAATATTTGACCTGAAGACAACAGTTGCCCATCTCTAGTTAAAACCTCCCCCCATTCCCATCTGCAGGCCCTGGGAAGGTTTTCTATGTGTTCACTCTCTGACCTGAGAGCAACACTCCCATCTGCTCTACCATTTGGTCTATCTTAACAATCTGGAACTCCAAAGTGCAGTATGCTGGAAGAATCATTTTTAGTCTCTAGGGGATCTTTCCCCCACCTGTGCTATGGTTAATACCACAGGGAATTATGTTAATTTATTCATGTGTTCCTCTGACTGACTGAAAAATGTAGACAAGCTGGCTTTCTGATGAGTAAGAGCACTTTTGATGAACTATGGAAGTTTCCTCTTGACCTAATGATCTTTCTTCTCTCTATTCCTGCTCTCTGATGTGGTGGTTTCAATTTTAAGCTATCAAAGCTGTAGATTTAGTTTGTGCTAAACTTTGCCAAACTTAAATGTTAAGGGCTTTGTGTATTCTTTTTTAGACAGTAATTTACACAAAATTTGAGAAAAATGTGTGTCTAAAACCCTTTAATGGAGCTGGAAAAGATGTACCAAGGCTAACTCAAATGACTGATAAATTAATAATTTTTTTTAAGAAGAAAAAAGATTAGGCATATTTGACCCAGACAGTAGACAGTTAAAATGAGACTTGACAAAAAGTCTGTGAAATCATGAAAGGCTTAGTAAGGTCGACATGGCATTTTCAGAATGTTGTGGACTATTAGGTTGTGTGCACTTCTCTTAAGTGTGAGAACATTAAGAATTTCAACAATATTTTGCCCTGTTGACAAAAATTTACATTTTGAGCTTCTTTTTCTTTGCTATGCTTTATATCCCAAGTATTATCCACAGGAACAAGCTGGCTTTTTGTTTCACACTCAACCAACTACACTGTTCAAGAAAAAAACTCATGAAAAATTCAGAATGTCCAAACATAATGGAAAAGAGCTACCAATGTTAAAGTTAATTTTGGATAAAGGTGATGGAAATTCAGACTTCTGATGCCTTCAGATTTCTCCTACTTTCATTCAGGTTGTTTTCCTTTCTAGTCCTTGCTCTGAGTGAAATCTTTAGGCCATGTACATTAGGCCTGAATATAATTTCCAGCAAAACATTCATTATCTTAAAATTCTAATAAAAAATTAGGATGATTCATGGAATTCTCATTAGGAGATTATACCAAATCTGGAGCTTAAGCTTGCACCTGTGCAGGCTGGAAAGGTGACCACAACTCCATAGACACTTCCCTTAACGTGGAGGGACGTATGGTTGATGGTTTCATTTTGAAATACACTAAAAAAATTTCTCTATGATTCAGACCTATAAATAGTTCCTATCTTGGTAATATTCATGTATAGAAATCTTTGCAGCATCTCAAATGTGTAAGTTCTTATGAAGATGCATGTCTTCGGGTCTGTTCTTGTATTTGTTGGTTATAGTTTACTTGCATCTAGGAGAGGAAATCTGACTGAAAAGGTCCAAGTGGCTGCAGGGCCTACTAAAAGCTGCAGTGGAATCCTCTAAACATAATTTCTTAAATGAACATATTGATTTTTTAAAATAAAAGAGAAAAGAAATGAATGAACGAAAAGGAAAGGAAAAAAACCAGGAGAGTTGGATTTGGAAATTACAACTGCTACCTAAATGTTTGTGGACAGAGCAATATATATATATATTTCTAACTTGTTAAAACTTATTTTGATCATTGCACAGCTCTACGTTTATAGTTTGCTCATTTACAAGCTACCTATAAAAACATGGTCTCTGAAAACCTGGAGGTTTACCTGATGGGTTTTTTGATGTCCTTTTATAAGGAATAATTTACTTAATTTTGGTATTTAAAATACCTTAATTATTTACATTTCTAAATAATATTTGCTTTCCATGATTGAGCATATTTCCAGAATATTCTTCATGAGAATAAAGGGGAGAATTTAGCTAGCAAGATAGGTTCTCAATATTTTCCTTCTTTCTAAATATTTTCAGAGTGGATATGTCACTTTTCAAACACAGCAAATATAGTATTTATAGCATAAAGACGGATTTCCGTAGATGGCAGGAATGAGCTGAAATAATACTTAGAATACACTTTTGCATGGAACAGAATCTTACTTAAACAAGCTCAAGAAAATGCAGAGAATTAAGTGGATAGTGATTTAATGGGCTCCAAGAGGAAGTTAAACCACCAGGTATCAGGAGGGGCAGGAACCAGGCATCCCTAGGGGCCTTAGCAGCACACATTCATGGTATTTGAATCTCATGGTTCACCATAAACATGAGACAATGAGTCTGCAGGATGTGGTCTAGCCTATGTATAAATTGGATCCTTCAGGCCAGGATGTACCCTTGAGCAAATTTGAATGGTTGGCAAAGCTCAGCACATGAGAACATATTTTCTTAGAAGTTATGTGGAAGGGGAAAAATATATGGCATATATAGTACAATCACTAATATAATTAAAACTTGGATCCTGCAAAGACAAAAGTTATCACTTGCTTGAAGTATAGCTCTGAAATTTCTGTGTCAATGTTTGAATTAATCTCCCTAAAAGATTAAGGCCTGACACTGACATACTTTCCTTTTTTAAAAAAAGGAATTTCATTAATACAATTCAGAAGCCTGTAATATATTTTAGCTCCAAATTAGGTTGAACACCATTGTCAGAAAACAGTTACCAGAAAAAGTGCTTTTACTAATGCATATGTGAGAGTAACTGGTAGAAATCATCACTCCTTTGGACTTATGGTATAAATCATTGCATAGACTTCTTTAGCATTTAATGTAATCTTAATGCTATGCCAAGTAATTTCAACTAATAAATGTATAAATAAAATAACAAAACCAGGCCAAAAAGGTCTATTGAAAACTTTATTTTTCACTAATAGGAGTAAATGTGTTTTGAAAATTTTCCGTGACACCTAATTTTGCAACTATGACTCTCAATAATTGTTCCAAACCTGGATATTGTTAAAACTCTAATAATCACTGTAATGAAGAAGAAATAATCAGCATACATAATGAAGTCTTAGCATCTCAGCTTCCAACATCTGAGCCACAAAAGGAGCCTCTGCTCTTTTTTCACTTAGATATCATTTCTCAGAATGGTTCACATGGCTTCCTTTCTTCCATACATAAACATTATTCCCCAGCAGTCATTTAAGAATTCAGCTAATATCTGTGGTCTTTCTCCACCATTAACCCATTAGCTCTGTCCTTCAGTGGCGCCACAATGACCTACAAAGATATTTCCCCATGGCTTAAGAGCTTTAAGAGCATCTCCTGGCCTGCAGATTAAATCTGAAACACTTTTGCTTCTCAGAGTGCCAATTCCTTCTTGTCTGGACCATTCTTCCCTTTCCAGATTTTTCTCCTCCTGCTCTCAGCCTTACAACTGACACTTTGGTAACACGAAAATACTTGTCACTTCCATCCAGCATATACTTGCAGGCCTTTACTTATGCATTTTTCCTCTAGTTGGAATATATATCCCCTAATCCCCTTCTTTACCTAACCAGTTTCTGCTCTCCCATAAAGACTCAGCTCCTGGCTACCTAATCCTCAGAACATTCCTGGAGCCTACCAAACTAGGCTAAAATTCCCTGCCCCACTGTGTTATCCCAAAGTGTTCCGTATATACCTCAGACACAGTATCTATGATATTATATAGAAGTGATCAGTTAGTGGGTCTACTGTTCCATAAATTATAAGCTGGTTCCATGTTGCACCACCAATACCCAGGAGGGACTTAGAGTTGTTGAACAGAATGGAACTTCTGACACAGTTATCGGCTCACACTATTTCTGACAACAAAAAACTTAAGTGATTTCATAGGGAATTTGAAATTCCAATGGAAGTCAAGAAATTTACAAACTGATCATTTAACAAATTTGCAGCTGTTTGAGGAAAATGAATTTAATCTTTCTTCTTATTAGCTCGCCACAAAAAAAGTCTGTGCTTAGATGTAGCCCAACAGCATTTTCTTGGCAAGCTGGCTTACTGCCTAGAAACATGTCAACACATTGCTTAAAGCAAGACAGTGATTGTTCAAGTAGCAGACATGCTGATGGGTCTCATGGCATGACGCATTTTCCACATTAGAATTCTGTAATCACGACTGTCACAAATAATGTGATTTAGTTCAATTACCCAAATCAAACAGCACATTTCTGTTGTTCTATAAGTAAATTGCTCATCATTTTATATTTTTAAGTATAGTAAGAATATAAACAGAGACTTTATTAATGCTATACTAATGCAAAGGAAAGACCTATATATGTAAAATACATAAGATAGATAGATCACTGTACTCACTGATTACTCAGAAAAAAATTCTGTGTCCTGAATTACTTGCATGTCTCAGGTAACAGTGATTTGGAGTTAAGCACATCTGAATTCTCCAGATAATCACTGCAGCTCTGCATTGCACTGCACTAATATAAGAATGGCTTAAGGACAATTTTTAGATGGAGCAAACAGAGATGAAAACTAAGAAACAAGGTAAAATTCTATTTTCTTACTAATGATAGAATTAGAATTATTTATAATTTTTGCTTTGGTTTTATATTCTGCACATTCTAAAGCTACCTTAAGAGGGCTCCCTCAGAGAAGATCACTGTTTTGCAAGTCAATACTCAGTTTTTCAGAGTATTTCAATTACTAAAGAGGGGGTATATCAAAATTAACCATACAGAATTAAACATTACAAAATGTGCCCTTTGCATATTTCCTCATTCTCTCCTTCATCAGTATGTGCTTGGTCACACCTTCTCTATATCATTTACAGAATCCAACGGTAAAAAAAGTTCCTTACTTGGTATTATGTGTATCAATGGTATGGAAGAGCTCATGTAATTCTTCTCCACTCAGAACACCATCTGCAAAATATGCTTTGAATTCTTCAAAGGACAATTTTCCATCATCTGAAATGGGAGGAACAGACAGAAGAGAAGCAAATCATTTCAACTTTGTATATTGTTTTATCTTTTAATTTTAAAAACTTTGCCCAAATGCTTATGCAGGGTTATTTGTGTATATATACACATTTATTTAAAAAGAAAGAATAATTCAAGGTGTTAAAAAGAAAAATAATTTAATATCTCTCTATAGTACATAGATTTCAAATGCATACTCCCTGATGAAATAGGTCTACATGGTTTTAAAAGTATGTTTGGGATCATTTATTTCTAGGGCAAACATTTAACAAGCAATTTAACTAAACATGCCAAAAATATATCCACCCAACCAAATAAAAGCCAAAGACAGAGTCAATTATTTAGACATTTTATCTTCATATACAGGACCTAGCAGGTTACAGAATAAATAGTAGATGTTTAATAAGTGTATATTTATTGAATGAATGCTAACATTTAGATTTTAGAATTATTATAATCCAACAAACTGTTCATTCCTTTACTACTTAAACAAATGAACAAAAGTAAATGACAAATTAGGGAGTCTAATAAAAAGAGATAAGAGGTGTAGACATTAGTATAAGTATGTTACACAGTAACACACAGTAAGTGCAATAAGAGATACACTTTGGAATGCATGGCAGTTAGGGCAATCAAAGATCCTTTCATTTGGGAGCATGAGGAGTTTTAGTAACTTTTGCACCTGACTTTCTACAACAGGTAAATGTGGATAAGCAGAGATGGAAGAAACACATTAGTAACAGATGAAAGTAAAAGATCTCTACAAGATTCAGAAGCAGAGGGGCGCCTGGGTGGCTCAGTTGGTTAAGCGTCTGCCTTCAGCTCAGGTCATGATCTCCGGGTCCTGGGATTGAGTCCAGAGTTGGGTTCCCTGCTCAGCAGGGAGTCCGCTTCTCTTTCTCTCTCTGTCGCTCTGCCCCTTCCCACCGTGCATTTTCTCTCTCCCTCTCTCTCTCTGAAATGAATAGTATCTTTAAAAAAGATTCAGAAGCAGAGAATTTAAGGGAGTGAATGGACATAAAGGAAAAGGAAAGTATCCTTCTTTCTGTGTAAGAGCTGGTTTGCCAGTTATCTCAGGTTAAGTTGCCAAATGACAATGTTCCTCTCCATTTACAAAGAGGCAGCAGAGGACTAAAGAGGAAGGGACTTAAGGTCACAAAATTCCTATTGTGTGGTCCTACCAACAACACCATACTGAACAAAGTAGAATTTGTCTTTGAGAAAAAGGTGGTAAGATTTGATAGGATTTGATCTTCAAGACCCATTTGGAGCTTTTTTTTTCCCCTCAAAAGATGGCCCACAGACCATCTTGAGTTCAGTTAAAATGCAAATTCCTGGGCCCTACCAGATCATCTGAATCTCATAGAGGGCATGGAGGGGTGGGGCAGTCAAGAAATCAGGATTTTTAGTGACCTGTGAGATTCCTCTTCACACTAACACTTAACATAAAGGACACAATTGGCCTAATCATTGAATGACCTACTTGTTCAGATAGTGATTTAAAGGCTGTAACATTTTCAAAAATCCTTATTTGTAAAATATAAAGACGCTTGAGAGTTTTTAAATTGCATATAATTATACTTTTTAACTTAATAGGTGTATTAAACCAATCTTCCAGTTAATTCTTGCCAACAACTAACTGAGCAGACTTAGCATTAGGGGTCACAACAAACCTGATCTGGATCATGCACTGAATGAGGTCCTCACTCCCAGAGGCCCCCTGGATTGGCCTACCTCAGTCTAGCTCACCCATTCAAAGACCACAGCAACTCACTGCAAAATGAAGTTGAATCCACCAGGTTCATCAGTTGTCTAATTTTGTATTTCTGCTTTTGGATGGGCTATTTTAGTGTCATGTCTCAAATAACTATTTTTAACTTTGGCTCCATGCAACCTGATGTATATTCCAGACTGGACATAGTAAAGTATCTCTACTGTGTATCTCCTTACTTTGACAAAATACTATATCACCAGGTTGGGGAATTGGACACAAATCCCACATCTAGGTATAGGAGAGAGAGAGAGAGAAAGAGAGAGAGAAGAAAAGAAGGAAGGAAGGAAGGAAGGAAAGAAGGAGGGAAGAAAGGAAGGAAAGAAGGAAGGAAGAAAGAAAGAGGCAGGAAGGAAGGAAGGGAGGGAGGGAGGAAGAAAGGAAGGGGGAAGGAAAGAGAGAGAAAGAAGGAAGAAAAGAGAGAGAAAGAAGGAAGGAAAGAGAGAGAGAAAGAAAGAAAGGAAGGAAGGGAGGAAGGAAGAAAGGAAGGGGGAAGGAAAGAGAGAGAAAGAAAGAAAGAAAGAAAGAAAGAAAGAAAGAAAGAAAGAAAGAAAGAAAGAAAGAAAGAAAAGAAAAAAGAGAAAGAAAAAGAAAGAAAGAAAGAAAGAAAGAAAGAAAAGAAAGAAAGAAAGAAAGAAAAGAAAAGAAAGGAAGGAAGGAAGGGAGGAAGGAAGGAGGGGAGGAGGTGGAAGGGAAAGGAAAGGAAAAAGGAAAGGAAGGGAGGCAGGAAGGGAGGAAGGAAGAAGAGGGAGGAAGAGGGAGGGAGGAAGGAAAGAAGATAGAAATCAACTCACTATTTTCAACTCTATATGGAAATTTATAACAGATGTAATACATACATATTCATGGTGGAATATGTTTCTTCGGTGAATATTTTTTTGACCTATTTATTTATTTATTTATTTTTGCATTTTATTTTTTTTAACTTTTTAAAAAAATTTTATTTTATTATGTTATGTTAATCACCATACATCATTAGT